CATTGTAAAAAACAAACTCTAGAATTCTATAATATATGCTTAGTAAAATATTCTGAAGCTATTCTAAAGAAATTAATACTTAATAGCCAATTTATGTTGAAATAGACAAGGAATATATATATCAGCTGTGTCTTGTTCATATGTTATTTCTGCAAAAAAAATAAAATAAAGTTACTCTACTGGACATACATAATCACAGGGTGCAAAATCATGCCAGTTTACACAACATTGGGGGGTTTCCTGGAATATGGGACTTCAAAGCAAAAGCCTTGTCAATCCCAGCAAGCCAGGACATCTGGTCACCCTAGCACACACACATGGACAAATAAATAATATATACCCAAAACCAAACCCGCTACCATCAAATCGATTCCAACTCATAGTGACTCCCATTGGGTTTCCAAGGCAGTAAAACCTTTATGGAAGCAGACTGCCCTGTCTTCCTTCCATGGAACAACTGGTCGGGTTTGAACTTCCAGCCTTCTGGTTAGCGGTCAAATGCCTTAGGCACTATGCCACCAGAACTCCTTAAATAATATGTATTATGTGTTATTCACACACACATACTTTTTATTTTCTCCTAATCACTTGAGGCAATGTTACCCATAATTTGTTATAATCCACACAATCAAATGCCTTTGCAGAGTCAATAAAACATAGGTCAACTTCTTTCTGGTATTCTTTGCTTTCAGCCAAGATCTAACTGACATCAGTAATGCTATCCCTCGTTCTATGCCCTCTTCTGAATCCAGTTTGAATTTCTGGCAGTTCCCTGTCAATACACTGCTACAACCATTTTTGAATTATCATCAGCAAAATTTTGCTTGTGTGTGATAGTAATGATATTGTTTAATAATTTAATAATGTGATAAGCAAGCATGATGATACTTATTTTTTAGATGTTTTATCTTGATTGAGTAAAGCAGGAAGCATCAAAAGAAGATGCAAGGAATGCACAAAGTCACTGCACAAAAAAGAATTGGTCGATGTTCAGCTATTTCAGAAAGTAGCATATGACCAAGAACCAATGGTATTGAAGGAAGAAGTCCGAACTGCACTGAAGGAACTAGCGGAAAAACAAGGCTTCCAGAATTGACGGAATACCCACTGAGATGTTTCAACAAATGAATGCAGCACTGGAGGCACTTACTTGTTGATGCCAAGAAATATGGAAGACATCTACCTGGCCAAAAGACTGGAAGAGATCCATACTTGTGACCATTCCAAACAAAGGTGATCCAACCAAATGTGAAAATTATTAAACAATATCACTACTATCACATGCGAGTAAAATTTGGCTGATGATAATTCAAAAATGGTTGTAGCAGTGTATTGACAGGGAATTGCCAGAAATTCAAACTGGATTCAGAAGAGGGCATAGAACGAGGGATAGCATTACTGATGTCAGTTAGATCTTGGCTGAAAGCAAAGAATACCAGAAAGATGTTGATCTATGTTTTACTGACTCTGCAAAGGCATTTGATCGTGTGGATCATAAGAAATTAATGGATAACATGGTGCAGAATGGCAATTCCAGGACATTTAATTATGCTCACGAGGAAACTGTACATAGACAAAGAGGCTGTTGTTTGAACAGAACAAGGGGATACTGCATGGATTTAAGTCAGGAAAGGTGTGCATCTGGGTTGTGTCCTTTCACCATATTTAATCATAATGTGTGCTGAGCAAATAATCCAAGAAACTGGACTATACGAAGAAGGACGAGGCATTAGGATTGGAGGAAGATTCATTAACAACCTGTGATGTCCAGATGAGACAACCTTGCTTCCTGAAAGTGAAGAAGACTTGAAGCACTCACTTATGAAGATCAAAGACTATAGTCTTCAGTATGGATTATACCTCAACATAACGAAAACAAAAATCCTCCCAATTGGACCAATAAGCAACATGATGATAAATGGACAAAAGATTGAAGTTGTCAGGGATTCCATTTTACTTGGATTCACAACACCCATGAAAGCAGCAGTTAAGAAATCAGACATTATATTGCACTGGGCAAATCTGCTCCAAGGGCCCTCTTTAAAGTATTAAAGAGCAAAGATGTCACTTTGAAGACTACGGTGTGTCTAACCCAGGCCATGGTATTCTCAGTTGCCTTGTATGCATATGAAAGCTGGACAGTGAATAAGGAAGACTGAAGAAGAGTTGGTGCCTTTGAGTTGTGATGTTGACAAAGAATACTGAAAATACCATCGACAGCCAGAAGAATGACAAATCTGCCTCGGAAGAAGTGCAGCCAGAATGCTACTTTTAAGCAAGAATGGCCAGACTTCGTCTCATCTACTTTGGTCATGTTGTCAGAAGGGACTATTCCCTGGAGAAGGATATCATACTTTTTAAAGTAGAGCATCAGCAAAGAAGGGGAAGACCCTCAAGGAGATGGATTGACACAGTGGCTGCAATGAGGGCTGAAGGTAGCAGGCATGCTGAGAATAGCACAGGGCTGGGCACTGTTTCACTCTGTTGTACGTGGGGTCGCTGTGAGCTGAAGCCAACCCGATGGCACCTAACAACAACAGCAACAGCATCTTGATTTTACACATTTCTTATTTTCCCCTGTTAGTGACACTATAAATGCTAAAACTCATTAAGTTCTATTGATTAGTTTTTTAAAAATGTCAATTTCCCACTTCCCTGAGAGTCTGTGGAATATATTTTCTGAGTACAGGCTACAAGTGTTATGAAAGAATAAAGTGCTTGGTCTTTTTAATTAAAAAAAAAAAGTAATGAAAGAAAAATAAAATAAAAAACCAAACAAAAAGGAAATAAAAAAAAAAGAAACAAAATTTTTTTTTCTCATCTAAAAGAACAGGGGGAGACAACCCAGTGCTGGTGGGGCAGCTTCATAATCATGGGAGATTCAAGTTTCTTCTCTACTGTTGTGCTGAATCTCATGGTGTATGGTGGATGCTGGAATTCCAGCCTTTATTACCATATGCCAGCCAGAGAAGGAGGGAGGAAAAGAGAAGTTTATTCCTTGAGAATCACACACAATATTTCATTGTTGGTCAGAACATAGTCATATGCTGGAAAGTTAGTCTTTCCTCCAAGTGGTCATATGTGCTACTAAAGTCTGAGCTAGGGAGTTCTGGTAGCATAGTGCCTAAGGCATTTGACTGCTAACCAGAAGGCTGGTGGTTCAAACCCACAAGCCACTCCTCGGAAGGAAGGTTGAGCAATCTACTTCTGTAGTGATACCACCTCGGAAACCTAAGGAGGGGTCACTATGAGTCAGATCCAACTGGACGGCAGTGCATTTGGTTTGATTTTGGTTACTAAGGAAAAAAAAGAGAAAATCAATGTCAGGGAACAATTAGAAGTCCTTGGAACACATACTCAGATTTACAGCTGTCACAAATGAAATTTCTACTATTGTAACCCAGAACAGTAGTCTATCTGCGTCTTCTTTACCTTTGATACGTAATTACTATAAAAATAAAACATTCTCTTACATTTAACTCTGCCAGTATGTGAGTCTGCATATACTTTGGCCTGTATCATCTTGGGTCTCCTGAACAGATCTAATTCATGCTGGAGATTGTGGAAAAGTATTGAAAGCATGCTGAACTCTGTCTATGGTTGAGCCCAGGATTTCTTTTTCCAGGTGAGCATTCAAGTCGTGTAGACAATAAATGGTTAGACAGGGACTTTGTTATCTGCAACCTTCATTTATGTAACCTCCAAAGTCAGAGACTGGCCTGACAGCTCAAAACAGAGAGAGATTGTTAGAGACTCATCAGCCTGGTTCTGTGGTTCTCACATGTGGGCTAAAGCAATACCTGTGCCCTGGCATCTTCAAAGATTCTTAGATTCATGGAATTGTATTGCTGAAAGGCACGAAAAGTCTGTTTCATTTTTCAGAGAAGGAACAGAGGAGTTAAGTAACTTGTCTAAGGACACCCAACTATTTAGTTACAAAAGGTGACGTAATAATTACACCTGGCCCTGGTGAAATAGTGCCTAAGGCATTTTGACTGTTAACCAGAAAGTTGGTGTTTCAAACCCAACAGCCACTCTGTGGAAGGAAGACTGGGCAATCTACTTCTGTAAAGATTTACCACCTCGGAAACCCAAAGGGGGTGGCTATGAGTTGGAATCATCTTGATAGCAGTGAATTTGGTTTTGGTCTATAGGGTCCTAGGTCCAAGCATATGCTAGACCTTATGAATAGGAGCTCTGGTAGCATAGTGCCTAAGGCACTTGACTGCTAACCAGAAGGTTGGCGGTTCAAACCCACCAGCAACTCCTTGGAAGGAAGATTGGGCAATCTACTTCCATAGTGACACTGCCTCGGAAACCCAAGGAGGGGTTGCTATGAGTCGGGTCTGACTTGACTGCACATAACAACAGCACAACAACATGAATAGGAGGTGAACTGTGATTTTTCAGGCCCTATCTGTATACAGATACCTCACCACTGCGGTTCTACCAGATTTCCCACTGATATTGAGAAGCAAAGTGTTGCCTCAAAATACTCTTCTGTCAGCCCCCATGTAAAACCTACTGGAGTTAATTCCCCATTTGCAATGTAAGGGGTCTTGACTGTCATCTCCTTCACGAGGAAAAAAGAAAATGGATGTACTTTAAGGGCAAGAGTTATTGTTTCTTTTCCCAATCTCCCCCAATGACAGTGCTAAGCCATTGCTTGCAGGTTTAACATGTACAAGTGGAACACTAGTAGTCCCTATACTTTTTCCTTTTCATAAGCTATATAAACTCATAGTCACCAAACTAGGAGGGACCTAGGAATAATTAGTTCCTCGATTCCTTGATTTCTCAGTTGAGAAAATGAAAACCCAAAGAGATGAACTGACAACTAAGATCATATTTCTTGCTTAAGACTTAAGAGCTCGAGAGTGTCAAAGTTTAAAACAACTCTACAGTTTATTTCTAACAATGCTATTATTGTTTACATAATAGATTAAGCTCTGAAAATTATTATCTACTTTAGATGAGAAGAGTGAAGTGTGGATTTGCTTCAAAACATTTCTTAAATTTATAATTAGACAACATGAGTTAGTTTTATAAAATATTTTATTTCCCGTAGAGCTTTACAAAAATAGTCTTAATAAAATTAATACAAAACCATTTTACAATATAACTTATACAACTATCTCCTCCAAAAGAACAACATTCGATAATAACATGTAAACTACATTTATATTTGTTAAGTCACATTATAGTATAAATATGTTTTATCATTTTTTATAAGGTACATACCAATAACAATGAATAATGAACAACAAATGTTATTATTCTTCCAATGTAAAATTCATCTCTGGCCAAAACAAAATTAACCAAAGGAAAGTAAAACAATTGTCCTTCTGTTCAACAATACAATCTTTTTTAATTATTTGTGAGCTTATCTGATAAAGATGCAGATTAATCTGAAAGCACCATGGCATAAAGTCTAGTATCACTATCCCCAAAACCTTCTCCAATATCTTCCCTTCCACTGTTTATCAGTATTTTGCCAAGATAAATAAAGATCAATCTCAACTCTGTCCTTCATTAGTCTCAAGTGTTCTTATTATGTGCTGAAGTTTTTAGACCTTCCCAGCTGGCATAGATTTAAGACATGAGTTTCTTTCTTTGGCTTCAAGTAGAGTTTCACAACCCTTACAAGATGTATTGAGCTCCTCCATGTGGCTGGATCTCTGTGACTCCCCACCCAACCACATTTCCCCGGATGTGACAAGACTCGGCTCCTCCAGCCTCTCTTATCTCTTCACGGCTGAGACTATGATCCCAGATATTGAAGCCTGTGAGTTTGCCAGAAAAGGCTAAAGTTTCATCAAAGCCACCGCCCACACAGCAGCCATTCTTTTCTTGGCCTATCTGCAGGATTCCTCCCTCAGGAACAGCATGACCTAAGGCCATCTTTACAGTGGTAGCCACCAGTTCTCCATTTACCCACAAGGACATGGACCCTGTCTCTGAATTCCAAGTGCCACACAGATGGGTCCACCTTCCTAGGGAAATCACGGTATCAGCAACCAGTTTGTTCTCCTCTCCACCCACCACAAGCACTGTGGATTGATAACTGAGGTACAGCTGGATCTCATATGGATTCTTCTTTGTGCCATAGGAAAATAAGACGGTTTTGTTTAAAACATCTGTGGCTTTGACCCAAAGGCAGGCACTAAATGACTTAAGCTTCATTGGCGTCACTGGATGCACGCTTCCAAAAATCTTCTTGGAACGCATTGGGAATAAAATCGCTGTTTCACAACCTACAGTAGCAATAAAGTAAGAAGAAGAATATGAAAGAAATTATAAATTCATTCAGATATTTTTCTGCCATTCAGGAATTTTAGCATAGGCATCTTAATGAACACAATTGGACATTACATGCTGTATCACGTTATGATTTGAAGGATCTCAAGTGTAATCTCTGTGAAAAAAATGATAATAACGAAAGCTAATTTTCTTCTTCAAATAAACAAAGTGTCTCAATAGAAAAGGTGTGCAGGGGAGGAAAATAGTCCAAACTCACAAAATAATGAAAAACATGTTTTAAGAACTTCTTCCCCAACCAATTTAGCCTATTTTCCTTTTTTTTTTTTTTTTAACTAAACTAACTCCAGGCAATGATACTACACTTTCTGAGAATTTAAAGTCATACCCCTTTCCCTTCACCAAGCTTCTAGAATAACCAGTTGCTGGTTGGCTTGGAATCATGGTGACCCCATGTGTGTCAGAGCAGAACTGTGTTCCATAGGATTTTCAAGGACTGATTTTTTGGAAGTGGATTGCCAGGCCATTCTTCTGAGGTACCTGTGAGTAAACTCGAACCTCTAACCTTTCTGTTTGTACCACGCAGGGACTCCCCTAAAATAATAAAAATGGGGAATTCAGTGGATCATCCTCATCCGATTCAGCCATTGTCAACATGCATTTTTAAACAAAACTTTAGAATCGTCATGTTGTTGCTGAATATGCTTTAATAGAGCATATGTCCTCAGGTATTTGTAAACTTCCCAAACTATGTAGAAAACTACCTTTGAATGGCAATGATGTTGAAAGGCAATAATAGTGATAATGATTAGTGCTTATTGGTTGTTCACTATGTCCTAGGTACTGTTCTAATCACTGTTTATATAATTTTAATCTTCATATCAACCCTAAAAGGTATTCTTATTGTCCTCATTTCATAGATGGGAAAACTGAGGCACAGCAGGCTATGTAATTTCTTTATGGTTACATAACTGATAATGGGGAGCTCTGGTAGCGTAGTGCCTAAGGCACTTGACTGCTAACCAGAAGGCTGGCGGTTCAAACCCACCAGCCACTCCTCATAAGGAAGACGGGGCAATCAACTTCCGTAGTGATACTGCCTCAGAAACTCAAGGAGGGGTCGCTATGAGTCAGGTCTGACTCGACGGCATATGACAACAACAACAACAACAACAACTGATAGTGTGGCAAAACTCGGGTTTGGATTTGGGCAGCTTGGCTGCAGAGGCCATGTACTCCCTTAACCAGAATACTACATTGCTTTCTAATAGATTTGGCTAGAATAGTTGGAGTTCAGTTGTTCCCCCCCCCCCCCCCCAGCTAATGAGTTGTGCAGCTTTTGACAAACCTCATAATCTCTCTAAGCTTTGGTGTTATTTATAAAAGGCCCTTCCACTCTGCTTTAATATTCTGTGAGTCTGGATGTAACAAGCATGTAGCACTCAAGAAGATCTGAAGAAATGAGAACTATCCTTAAAAACTCTCATGTTATCCACATGCTTCTAAATGCTATTTGAGTACTAATAAACTTTTAAGAGAAGTGAATTTTTCTAAGGCCCAATGGAGACTATATTTCTAATAAAGACCTTTTCAAACTTGGGGTTGGGAGCTCTGTAATCTCCTCACTTCTATCCATCTCAAAGCCACATGGCCAGGTGGGGAGCTAGAGGTGCTGAATGAAGACCTTCTAGGTATCTCTGGGAAATGATGGTGCTAAAGCCTTTAACAAGGAGCTCTGGTGGCACAGTGCTTAAGCTATGTGAGTGCTAAACAGAAGTGTGGCAGTTCAAACAAACCCACCAGCTGCTCAGCAGAAGGAAGATGAGGCTATCTACTTCTGGAAAGATTTACCACCTTGGAAACCCAATGGGGGTCACTATGAGTTGTAATTGGCTCCATGGCAGTGGTTTTTTGGAAAGCCTTTAACAGTTGAGCTCTGTTTTATGCTAACCTCATATATGAAAGCTCAGATAAAGAATTGGTTAAAAAGTAAATTAGGACTAGGTATTCACTTCCCAAGAAAGAATGCTGGTGGTGCAGTGGATAAGCACTCAGCTCCTAATCAAAAGGTTGGTAGTTCCAAGCCACCAGCTGCTAAACAGCAGAAACATGTAGCAGTCTACCATCGTAAAGATTACAGCCCTGGAAACCCTACAGGGCAGTTGTACTCTGTCCTATAGGCTCACTAAGAGTCAAAATTGACCCAACATCAGTAGATTTTGGTTTGGGTGTTCACTTTACAGCAATTTAAAGACTTGCCATGGGTATCTCTGAAAAGCAAACTCCCACAGCATTTAAAGAGTAACTAATAGATAGAAGTTGCAGAAACCAAACAGCTATGTAAAGTATGATAAACTACGTGAAATTTCAGCATGTGGCTCTGGACAATGCACTGTCCAGAAAAACTTGAATACACATTAGTCTTCTCCTTCAGTAATAGTCAAAGACAATATTGAGATTGAGAATACCACATAGTAGTAGCTGTAATACTAACGCACAAACTGTTCCTGTCATTGTTTGATGTTAACTTTTTCAGTAAATGATTTGAATTTTCAAAGCTTTCTTCAAATGAAATTGCTAAGTGAATTTTTTTTTTCTCTATCTCAATTAAATCAAATAAAAATCAAGGGACAAAAGACCACCAAATCCATGAGCATTTGAGCTATTCTCTGTAATGGTTGAGTAAAGTAACAAGCAAGAGGGTGCCTACTGCAATCTACTTAACTGATTTCCTGTTTAAATAAGTCCAGCCAGCCTGGATTGCATTCCAAAAGGTTTCTTGGTTGCATCTCAGAGACCCAGCTTCCTCTCTAGGTTTCACTGCCTATATGAGTTCATGCAGTGAAACTGCATGCTGGCAGTTGTTTTGTTTTGGTTTGGTTTTTCTTTTGGAGACCTGTGATTGAGACAACTGATACCTCTTTAAAATGTCAGAAACTCCCTCATGAAATGGTTTTTCTGATTATATTATCAAAGACCAAACAAAATTAAAACCAGCTTCTTAGAAGGGGACAACAGAGTGATTAGGAATCCCTAAGAGCCAAGCTGGCAGGAGTCCGAGGGGGAGATATCAAAGCATGTACATAAAAATATTATTGGATATAATAAGGAATGATCATTTCAGAATTCAGAAATACATCCCTCTTCTACTCTAAGTAGGATGCAGAGATGAAGATGAAAATTAGGATAATTCCTTAGTTTTCCTGGTAGCTTGTATGTACAATGATTTTTCACATTTGCAAACATGAGAAATTTCATTCCATTAAAATGGCCACATAATTTTAATTGTTTCCTTATCACTTACATTAATCATCTATGTATGCATCATTTTATGCCTTCCCTCTCTGAAGATCTACTCAATATTTAAGAATCTGTTCTATTCTGATAGAAAAAAAAGTTTAAAAAAAGGTCCCTAAATAGTTACCAAAGACTGATACTCTGGTATGGTTGGTGTAATTTTAAATGAAACATGCACTCACACATGCTTGTAATTCTTCCCTCTACCCCATCCAATAAGAGTTGTTTAAATAGAAACATAGGGAAGGATAATGTTAAGTTTGAGATTCTCAGGAAAAGCATATGTTATTTTTACCCTACCTAGGTCACTGATTTTCTAATATAACCCCCAAACGATTTTCATTTCATTTCTTAGCAATCTTGACTCAAAAGGGCTCCGAATCTTCTATTTATTTTTTTAAAAACTATGTTTGAAATGTGTTATTTCGGTGACCCACGTCTATTTGGAGATTCCTGGAGACTGTGACAAGTTACATCTGGTTTGGACCAACTCTCTTCAATGTGGCCCTGATTGTCTCCAAGTTCCAGAGGCGAGGTAGGGGTCTCAAACACAGATTGGCTCCTGCGTCTGACCTATTCCACGTGAATCCCTCAGCCGAAGGTTTATCCCAATCCCTCACCCTCGGACCTCCACCCCAAGCTCTTACTCCACAGACTCAGGAGCTGGGGACCCCTCAGGAATTCCCGCTGACCTTGCAGAATATCAGATTCCGCCTCTGGCTCAGCTTCAGCAGGGCGGAGGGGCTGGCCTGGGGGTTGGAAAACATCCCTAAAAGTTAGTCTGGACCCTGAAATAGCGCGGGGAACCAGAGAGTCTCTAAAGGGAGAGGCGGACTAAAATTAGAAGAGGTGGAAATCTAACGGAGGGAAGCTGGGCGGGGAAGGGGTCATGGTCATTACCTGCCAATAGAACTCCTGCAACGCCTAGTTGGATCGGGTGTCTGGGGCCCTCCACGTCTATTTCAAGACTGGGATGGTTACTTCCAAAGCTGTCTTTTTGGTACACTAAGGCTGGGAACATTTTTTGAAGTGAATTTTATCTCCTTGTATGGTGTGTCCGAACTCTGTGCATGCAGAAACAGATGTCTGTACGTTTCCCTTACTAAGCTTCCACGGCATGCTGACCAACTTGGCTTCCGGAAGCAAAGCCTTCTGGAGGATAGTTCCCTAGAGGGCCCCAAGTCCTTACCTGCGGGCAGCAAGCGTCGGGCCGCCCACTCCTGCACCGCGCTGAGGTCTGCTCGCGTCTGCCGAAGCTCGGCGAGCGCCGCGCCGAGGGCGCGCTCCACCTCCTCCGGCCGCTGCGCGGCGGGGCCCTCCAGGCGCGCCAGCCTGTGGCTCGCATCGCGGCTCGCCTGTAGCAGCTGGTCCAGCGCCCTCGCCAGCCGGGCCTCGGCCGGGGCCGCCGGCGTGCTTGGCCTCGGTAGGCTACTAGCGAACTGGCCCAGCTCAGCCCGCAGCCTCTGCAGTTCGCTCCGTAGGACTTCGTCCATGGCCTGCAGCAGCATGCCCTCCCTCATCTGCGAGTTTTCCAGCATGATGAAGAGCTTGTCCCATTCGGAGTGCTCTCGACTGCAGTCGCATGGCGTGGCTAGAGCGCGAGACACACACACACACGTGTTACCGACCGCCTAGGTCTTCCTAGGGTGGACTTTATAAAAAGCTGATCTCCTTCGGTGGCCCAAGTTACAGCCCATTCCCAGCACCCCACTTCCTTTTAAAGACACTTTATGAAAAACAGTGTGCAACTGTCTAGAGAATGACACAGAAACCATTCATTTCGATGTATAATGAATTGAACTCTATGAAATCGTCGTTTTTGTGGCACAAAAGAGTCAAATGCAGGCAATTTCATACGGTGCAACTCATGTACCTCTTGCAGAAATACCTTTCTGGAAATTCTCTCTTTCTAAACGTGCTTCTCCCTTTTGAAAAGCAAAGTCTTAATTTTTTAGCTCATTTCAAAGGCTATAAAGTATAAATGCACTATTTAGACCGAAAGAGGTGGCAATACAGTTAAGGTTAGCAGAGAAACACTTAAATGAACTTACGGTCTTCGGTGGAATGGATTCCATTGTCTATTTCGTTGTCCAAATTCACATACATGAGCTCATAATCATCCGAGTTCTCCGCCAACACCGCAGTCCAGAAAGCACAAAACAGAATCTCAGGGAAATGCATCGCTGAACAGACACAAAGTTCTTCCGCGACTTTCAACAGCTGGCGGGATAGGACGAGGCAAGAGGCTTTCAAGCAAGCTGAGTCTGGCTGGAGGAAAGCGAGAGTGAGAAGCAAGAGCCCAGCGCCCTTAATAAATGCTGGGGAAAAGCTGAGTGGGGATGAATGAGTAATGCCAGTGGCACAGCGTGAAAGGGAGTTCCCCTGGATTTTGAGGGGAGGGGGCTGGGTGGAAGAGGGGGGAGGTGTGGACATTGCACCATATTAAACGGCAAATGTTTATACTGCAGTCAGATAAATTGGAGGAGTGAGTGTCAGAGGGGGAGAAGCGGGAAAGTGAGCCACTTTGGTCCCCTGAGGATTAGATGTTGTAACTGGAATTGCTAGCACTGAAAATGAGGGCATCCTTGGGGGTACGGGGAGAAATAATTCATCAGGGATAGAGATGTGAAAGCAAGATAATAATTTCAGCATTTTGTCTGCTTTTTTATTTTTTCCACAAGCCGTATGAATTGGATCCACTGGATGGCAGTGGAAGTGAGTTTAGTTTTTTGCTTTTTTTTAAGGATGGCAGTGGATTTAGTTTGGTTTTTTATGTATAGAGAATTTTTTTTTTTTTTTTTTACTTTTCCTTTGCATACTGCTTGACAGATCTGAACTGTGAAAAGTTACTGACTGACTCCAAGCTAAAACAACATAGCAAGAGTTTCTATGACTCTAGAAGCTAAGTCCAGGAGTTATCTTGTCTTTAACCCTTCTGAGGAGCAACTATACTTTTATAAACAAACTGTTTAAATGATAAACAACACAGGAAAACTTGATGAACCTAAAATGGAAATGAACCAAGGAAAAGGAATAAACTGATTTTAGAAATGTTCCTTTTCACAGTCTGGTAATATATGAAATTATATTATTCCACTAAGTTTAACAGCAAGAATCCTATTCTAAAAGTTAATTTAGAGATTCTTGCCTCTACCAACATATTTACCAATGTAAATTGAAAACCCTCCTGTAAGAAATACCTAGAAATGTCTTTATATACTAAAAATATTAATAAAAACTTTAAATATACAAATGAGCTCCCAATAAAGAGAGGGAAATATTCAGGGGCCAAAGATAAAGAGGGAACCAAAAATCAAACAGTAAGCCAATGAACTGATGCTGGGGTCACCTGAACTGAGAGTAAAGAGTGTTGGAATATTACCAGTTCTGTAACTAAGGGACTTGAGTGTTAATGGCCATGTGGGGGCAGAGTTTAGACCTAAAGTGATGAGTTAGAAATGAAATCCTTACATAAAGCCAAGATTCTCAGAGTTATATCTTGGACTCTAGTAGGTATAAATTACACTGTTCCCTAGCACAGGAAAGTGAGAAGAAAGCAATGGACCTCTTGGATTGAATTCTACAGGGTCCCTCAGTGACTTTGGACCTACCCTTATACATGTTTAGGATTCAGATGTACACTAACTGCTAGTAAAAGTGAATTCACAATAAAAAAAAAATTTAAACATATGAGGAAATGATTCATCATAAATGAGAATCAGTAGAAATAAAAAAAAGGACTAGACACCCCTCCCCAATAACTTTGTTTATTAAAGATGTCAGCTAGAAACTAGAAAATGAGTAAGGTTTAAAGTAATGTAAGATCTTAAAGAATTGGAAACATGAGAAAAGAGGAAGACATTTCCAACAAGACTAGGTAGCTTTTTTAAAAAAACAAAGTATTACCAAAATTTTTTTTAAAAAATTAATTAAAACTAAAAGTCCAGTGAATGGATTAGCAAACTAGACAAAGCTGAAGAGAGTATTAATGAACTGAAAGACAGAACTAAAAATGAAATCCAGAATACACTTTTTATGTTCACTAAAGTATCCAGGAGCTCTGGTAGCATAGTGCCTAAGGCATTTGATTGCTAACCAGAAGGCTGGCGGTTCAAACCCACCAGCCACTCCTCAGAAGGAAAGTTGGACAATCTACTGCTGTAGTGATACTGCCTCGGAAACCCAAGGAGGGGTCGCTGTGAGTTGGTCCGACTCGAAGGCACATAACAACAACAACAACAAAGTATCCTGGACAACCTGAGTGGTGTGAATGGTTAAGCCCTCGACTACTGTTCAAATCCTTCCAGAGACATCTTGGAAGACTGACCTGATGATCTGCTTCTGCAAGTCCACAGCCTTGAAAATCTTATGAAGCCATTCTACTCACACCCATGGGGTCACCATAAATCAGAGTCAACTAGAGGGCAACCAACAACCACAACCAACAACCACAACTTAAACCAGAGTGGTCCTCAGAACTGCGGGTGTAGAGACTTCACCTTGCTTATTTTAGATATGACATCAGAAAAAAAAATTAAGAGCTAGTAAAGAATATTATGTTTGGTAGAGTAGAGGACCACTAATATGGAGGAAACTCTCAATGAGATGAAGTGATAATATAGCACAATGGTGGACTCAGACATACCAATGATAACAGAGATGGTGTGGGACCAAGCAGTGTTATATTTTATTAGATATGGGGTCACCATGAGTAAAAGGTGATTCAATGGGAACTAACAACAACAGCAAAAATGTATCATAAATATCAGTACATTGTGCAGGGGGATGATAGAGAAATTAATAATTTTGTTCTTAGTTAGTTCAAGAACAAACACTAAAAAGAACAGCAACAAAAAAATATATAGAACTTCCAAGTAGGAGTAGAGGGAATTTTAGAAGAAAACAACTTAGGAAACAGGGAAGGAAGGAGGAAAAGCCTAGATACAGCAAGATTAATAGAAATCACACCATTCCAAATGTGTCAATAACCACAATAAATGTTAACCAGCCAAACTCTTTTCAGTTAAGAGACAAAGGTTGTCAGATATGATTATTTTAAAAATCTAGTTATTTGTCACTTACAAAAGTCGTATATAAAACATAATAAACTAGAAATGTTGAAAGTAAAAAAAAAAAAAGGTGGGGACCGGAGGAAACAAACATACCAAACAAGTACTTCTCCAAAAAGCTAATGCATCTATATTAATATTAGGATGGGGGCACTTTAAGGGAAAAGAGGATAATTAAATTATTGTAAAAGAAGCAAGGAAGATATTATCAGAAAGATACTATCTCAGAATTATCTACTAGCAAAGTTTCAATAAATATACAATAAAAAGTGACGTAATTATAAGGAGAAACTGATATATCCTTAATCATGGAGGCATATTTTAACATATCTTTTTCATAACTGATAAGCCCACATGTGTCATAATTGATAATTCACACTCCAAAGAAACTGCTAAAGGATACAGAAACTTGTTCTTTAAACTACATAATTTTAAATTTTTATAATGAAATATACACAGCACTTCCTAGATGATTTTATAGGCAAGTCCTACCAACCAGCCAAGATAACAAAATCCCCCTTTTATACAACTGCCACCACTTGTCTGTCAGTTTTTCATACTGGTGCGGCTTACATGTTGCTGTGATGTTGGAAGCTATGCCACCAGTATTTCAAATAGCAGCAGCATCACACATGGAGAACAGATTTCCCCACAGCTTCTAAGATTCTATGAAGAAGGGCCTGCTGATCCATTTCTAGAAGAACACCAGCAGAACATTGTCAGACACAGTGCCAGAGGATGAGCAGTCAGATTGCAAGGCACTCAAAATACCACTAGGAGAGTTCACCTTACTGATGGGGGTGGAGTAAAGCTTTCAGGACCTTCGCTTACTGATATGGCACAATTTTAAATGATAAGAAACAGCTGTAAACATCTATTAATAATCCAAATGTGGAATATACAAAATATGAACCTAAGTAAATAGGAAGTTGTCAAAAATGAAGTGGAATAAATAATGATTGGTACCCTAGGTATTAGTGAGCTGAAATGGACTGGAATTGGATATTTTTAATCAGACAATCAGATGGTCTACTGTGCTAGGAATGATGAATTGAAGAGGAATGATGTCTCATTGTCAAAAAGAACATTTCGAGATCTGTTCTGACGTACAACACTGTTGATATCCATCAACCCACCAACTACTAATGCCAAAGATGAAGAAATTGAAGATTTTACTGACTTCTGCAGTCTGAAATTGATCAAGCATGTAATCAAGATGTATTGATAATTACTGGTGATTGGAATATAAAAGTTGGAAACAAAGAAGGATCAGTAGTTGGAAAATATTGTCTTGATGATAGAAATGATACTAGAGATCACATGATAGAATTTTGCAAGACTAACAACCTATTCATTGGAAACATCTTTTTTCAACAATATAAATAGTGACTAAACACGTGGACTATGACAGATGGAATGCACAGGAATGAAATTGACTACATCTGTGAGAAGAAATGATGGAGAAGCTTAATATCATCAATCAGAACAAGGCCAGAGGCAGACTGTGAAGAGGACTAGCAATTGCTCATATGCAAGTTCAAGTTGAAGCCGAAGAAAATTGAAACAAGTTCACAAGAACCAAAATATGACCTTGAGTATATCCTACTCCCAAAAATATATTTGATGCATTGAACACTAATGACCAAAGACCAGACAAGTTGTGGGATGACATCCAGGACATCATATATGAAGAAAGCAGCAGGTCATTAAAAAGACAGGAAAGAAAGAAAAGACCAAAATGGATGTCACAAGAGACCCTGAAATGTGCTCTTTAATGGACAGTACTAAAGCAAATGGAAGAAATGAAGGAAAAGAACTGAACATAAGATTTCAAAGGATAGCTCAAGAAGACAAAGCAAATCATTATAATGAAACATGCAAAGACCTCACATTAGAAAACCAAAAGGTAAGAACATACTTGCCATTTCCCAAGCTGAAAGAATTGAAGAAAAAATTCAAGTCTTGAGTTGCAATACTGAAGGATTTTATGGGCAAAATATTGAATGATGCAGGAAGCATCAAAAGAAGATGCAAAGAATACACAGAATCACAGTACCAAAAAGAATTGATCAGTGTTCAGCCATTTCAGGAGGTAGCATATCTGATAGTATTGAAAGAAGTCCATTCTGCATTGAAGGCATTGGCAAATGCCAGGAATTGAGAGAATATTAATTGAGATGTTTCAACAAATGGACACAACACTGGAAGCGCTCTTTCATCTATGCCAAGAGAGATCCATATATGTACCCATTCCAAAGAAAAGTGTTTTA